CTGGTTTAGTTTTAAAAACTAAGCAAAATATATGCCTTTCATTTTCAATCTTGACACAGTGTTCAAACAAAGTTGTAATTTTTACTAGCATCTGGCAATTAGCTAAACAGCACTTTGCCTAGGCTCAATTATGTAAGTATAACTTAAATAACTTTATGAAGGAACCTACCAGCTTGAAACGATTTGCTTTACGGTTGCCCTGAAATAAACATTTATTTCACTCCTAGCTATAGTAATAATGAATTTAAGGACTTTTAGGGTGAGTTTGAAGTCATATGATGACATTCGGCATGTCCTAAACGCTATATACTCAATATCAAGCCCATATATTTCAGGCTAACTTCATAGCTCATCTAATGAAAAAATCGTTTGAAATTATCACTGGTAATACTTTACTTCCTCAATTACATACATATTCCATTCCGGCCATTTTAAGGTAACTTGGTAAAGTAGTTATAAATATTTCCAAGACATGAAGAGAGAGGCAACTACGTATACCTCCACAGATAATCCAATGGAATGCCATTCCACGTGTACATACGTAATTCCTCTCATTTTCTAGAGTACACAATGAAAACAAATTCCCAATCCTCGGACGTGATCTGTCATTTCCGTAAGGATTTCACGCAATCACGTTTCTGTAAGGATTTCACGTAATAGTTTCAAATAAATTCCGATATACTTTGACTACAACTACAATATTTATTTGAATGTATGGTAAATACAGATGTAAAATTGAGAAATCCTAAAAAGAAAATGATGCAACGCGACAAATTGGTAACATAAGCATAAATATGTAAGAAGAATCCTCCTTATATTTTACTACGTTTTTATGGACAGGTGATTAATTTTGTTTAATTACCAGGTATATATGAGTGTATCCTTTTAGTTACTTAAACAAGTTAACGTTTAATTTTAAAATATTTTTTATGTGTTGGAAAATGAAAGTATTCGAGGAAAAGAAAAATATCAACAATAATCTATTGCTAATGAAAGAACCTAATTTGATTAATGGAATCGGAATATGTTGAATACAACATTTTTAAAAAAATTTTGTTCCATTCAATGCTAACAATTCGTATCTGCAAAACATCATAATTTTGCTAATTTGATTATACAGGACATTAAATTACACTGTGATAGGATACTCAAAAATTTCCATTACTGAAATTCCAATCAAATTTTAATAGCAAGCACTGTTTTATCAGCAGTAATTATGCATGTGGAATATAATGAGCTTATCAAAACCGGACGAAAATGAGGTTGGGAAAAAACACTGGTAAATCTTGTTCACAGCGCAAAAATGCGCAGGATAAAAATCAAAAAAGATTTGAGGAAAGAAGGATCCAAAAAAATTAAGTACTGGCAATAGCGTGCAACAACTAACATATTTGCAAATACAAATCAGGTTTCAAAAATATGTAGCAGAGAAAAATTTTTTTTAACCTGTGGAAATCATAAGAAGCACAGTACAAAATTAGATATTATCAAAAAAAAAGAAAAAAACGAATATGTTAAATACACGCCAAATGGTGAAATGCACTGATATTAGAAAAGTAATTTAAAGCAATAATTTTATATTTAGAAATTTAATACTAGAATCTGAAACTTCAAGGCCCAAAGACTGGACTGAAGCGAAATAATTCTTACATGACAATAACAAAGATAATTAGATTCCAAGTAGTAACCCGTATCATTCGGACTAAATAATACCCGCAACTGCAGTTCATTCGAAACACTGCTCAAAAAAATGCTCATCGTCGCCCCAATCTAGGTAATATTCATCACGTATCAAATCAAATGTACCATCGGATGAAAATGTAAACAAATTATAGCTTCCATCATCACAAATTGCAACCATGGCCTACAAAGTTGTCACATTTAACCTCAAAGATAAGAAATAACGAAAATTTAAATCACCAATAACTTGACAGCACCATATTCCATCCAGAATTCTAATTTACAGCCATATTTCATCTGAAGTCCTGCTTTTATCGTCACTGACAGAGACAACAAATAATGATGCTACTAAAGTGACAATTTTTCCATGTCACCGAAAAATTTGAGTTAGTTCATAAATTCAAATTCCTCAACGCTAAAAATGATTAAGAAAGACCAGAATAGCTTTCGATAACTTACATGGCTGCGTAAAACGAAACGACTTTTGACACTCAGTTCAGTGCCATTTGATTCATTATTATTTTTTAAGAAGGCCAATTCAGTAAGTGTAACATTTTGAGTAGCTCTCGATAATTTGAATTGTATCCGTGCACGATCAGCATCCTCTGATATAAGACCAACTTGCTGCCATCTATAAAAGAATTTTATCACTTCCATTACTATTTTCTAAGATGTTGGCCAAGAAGTTTTCTGAAATCCTCCCAATGTTAGCTTCCTAACATATAAATAGATATCAGTTTCTTTAAAACTAATTAAAGAAGGTCATTATAGTATTTCAGAAGAGCTGTTAAAAAAATAGCTGTCAAAGCGCCCATCCGAACTACTGACGGTTTAGTTGATTATAGACAAATTAAAATGAGGTAAAAACAGAAAAGGTGACGATATTTTTCGCTTAATATTGCATATAAAATTCAAAATTAATGTGGAAAGTTGATACACTGCAAAAAGCACTATGAATATTCTACCCAAATTTTATTCCTGATGTAAACAATCTGCGCTCTATATGTGATTCGTTATATCAGCAAAATCAAGACTGTTTTGGCACGAGTTTCATATTTCAAGCTTCTCATAATTCTAATGTATTACTGGCGGTAGTTATATGTGAAGTGCTATCAAGTCCATTATAAGTTATAACTTAACTAATTCTATTATACAATCGTATAAAACTTAGCAATTCAAATGACGCACAATGTTTTCTTGTTCGTCCACGTTGGGTCATTATTTTTTACAGCGAAAATATGTACAGTATCTTTATCACTTGCAACCGCCAAAAAACTAGAACATGGTGAAAAACGCAAGCTGAAAAGATCTTCAAAATTAGTATAAGGAAGGAAGAAACCAAAACGATTTTCACCCTCTCCTCCCTGTGCTTTAAAATGAAAATATTCAAGTCCAACAAATCTTTAACCTCTTTTAATTACTTCCAACTAATCTTTGTCCCTCCGCTTAAATGCCATTTAATAGAACATAACAACGTTGAAGAGATACGGCTTATTCACTACACTGAGGTGTACTATTATGGGTATGAAATTATAAAATTTTTTTGTGCTTATTTGACGAGTAGAATACCGAACAGAGATTTCAACATCATACAGTTGGAATTTGTACTTTGGTTTCAAACATCAAAATTGATGTACTAACCAATGCAAAGTAACAGAGTCGGCGCCTCGCCTGAATTCCCGTATTGGTTCTGCGGTTTTTGTATCGAAAATTCGTATCATCGTCCCCTGAAATGCAGGAAATAACTTCTGTTAGACAGAGAAAAGATTAAAACTAATCTTTGAAATCGCAATTCTAGTTAGACAATAGAAATGGTGGCGGGCGCTTTAACCAAAAAAGGCCTGCGTTTAAATTGCAATGCAACTTTAATAAAAGCATTCAAAAAATCATGAATTAAATTCAAAATCTCTACCTTCCTTATTCATCTTAATGAAATGAAAATGTCTTACTTTAGTGGAACCAGTAGCCAAAAGAGTAGCCGTATTATTCAGTGCCAGCTGTACCACATCAGACTGATGAGCATTGATTAATGTTGGTGTTAAGGTTGTATGCCGCGCGACATCACGTAAATTGATATACTTTAAAAAAAAAAGGCTACAAGTATGGTAAGACCAATCGATTCTAATCACAAGTTATTTTTGATCAAGGTTATTATCGCTTATTACTACAAAAAAAACTAACATTTTTAGCTATTTAGTGTAGCAAATTTTTAATACCTCAAAGTATGCCAAATATGGCCATATCTTCCTAAATTTCTTTTTTAGTCGCTGAATCATTACGTTCAATAAATCCGTTAGTTAAGATGTTGGTAGTTTGAAATGCATTCATCAAAAAATGATCAAAACAGTATCGTCTTCGCTTATCAATGTTTTCCCGACTTCGACTTCCTCATGTGTTAAATTAAGATGATTACTATTCAGTAATTCCTTACTTGAAAAATTCAGAACATTACAATCAAAGAAAAAAATCTGATAAACCTGAACACTGCCCTTTTGATGCCCTGGATAAATAAGAAGCTCCATATTTGGATCATTACTAAGTTCACATAATCCATGAACATTCGTACCCGTCTGGATTGTTTTTATAGGATCCATTTCTTGTGGAAAATTAAAAATATGAATTTTTTTCATTTCTACTAGAACCATTCTGCAAGGAATGAACAATTAAAAGAAAATATATGGGTATCACTTTTTCAATTTCATTGTCCAAAAAAAGAATAAAAATTATACGGATGATGGAAAAGTGCAATGAGGTGCCAGATATTATGAATGAAAAGTAACAATCAGTGCGGAGAAAATATCGCTGACCTCGTTTTTGACATCTGGAAGTTTAAAACAGGTGATGTGCTGGTGTACTCCATGTAAAAGTCATCCTTTCTTCTTTCATCATTCCAAACCATTACTGTAGTAAAAGAATCAAATATGTGCTTTAAAACAAATAAGTGAATCAATTATACGTTGACCGATGGCTCAAAAAATATACAGAAGTTATTTAACTTGGTTAATAATTATATTTCAAATTTTAATGGTAAAAAAAATTCCGAGTTTCAATGAAATATCAAAAAATCATCGATTCTGCCGATTTGTACGGTAACTCACCCCGAACAATAGCTAGTAGTAGAGAAAGGAAGGATAGCTAAATTGGCTAATTAATAGAATCTTTTAGCTTACCGACATTTTCGGCATATTTCGGGCAAAATCCGCCACTGACCATTCCAAAAAAATTTGAGCAACCAAGAACTTTGCCAATTCTTAAACTTCCAACAATACGTTTATCTGTAATTATCACCGAGTAATTAAACAATAGATTTCAACTAAGCATTCCTACTAATCTATTTCGTTTCTACTCGTCTGTATGTTTTACACCTGTGGAAATCTATTGAAGTCATTTTTCTCGAATAACATCCAAACCAATGGATAAATTAAACGGAATGTTATGGTAACTAGCTCCTCCGGAAACTCGATTTGAAGCTCATCTCGTTCAACTGGGTGCGCTTTACTTCATGGCTAAATAATTTGGGCATTCAATCACAATTATTATTCCTCCCCACTCCCTTTCTTAAAGAATTAGCGCTATCTAATTAGTAAATTTGAACATTTAAATCCTATCATGCAAAAACCAACCTAACCGGATTAACTGATGCAATGGATTGCACTGAAAAATACGAAATCCATCCTCGGTGGCTACGGCAAACATATTCTGCTCTGAATTTACAGAAATGCCGTATACTTTTTTCATCCTAAAAAGAAAAAATTACTATTTATCATTAATGATTTTAACCTTTTATTTACGCTTATTAACATCTACATCGATGGTACAATTATTCACGAAGGTACTTTAACTAGAAATTCAGAGCCAGTTGATGAATTCTTATAGCTAATAAAATTAACTGATACTTCGCTAATTTCTTCGTGATTTTTTTCTTTTTTTTTTGTCATTAGTAGCATTATTTAGTTCAACTCTGTATTTGAAACGTCATCGTCATGGACGACACTTTCCAGAAATTTCCATTTCAGCATAGAAATGATAATGAACAATTCTACATCTTACCCCAAAACTTCCTTTTATCATTTCTCTACAGATACTTCACTTTTCAACAAACAAAAAGAAATAAATTTACTCAATATTTTAAATGGAAAAATTGAAAGGAAAATTTTTAGGGAAGAAAAACGCTTCCCCCGACAAACATACAATAAAAAAAACAATTTTTACTGCTGAAAATCAATCAAATCTTATAAAACAAATTTTCGTTATTACTTCTACACAGTTGAATTTCAACAATATATGAAGAAATGAACTTTCCGAATATTCCAACTAGAAAAATTGAACTGAAAGAGAAGAAAAAAAGTGAATAATACGATATGAAAACGGTTTTCACCGCTATGAAGCAAGTATAATTCCCCTGAGAAAAATCAATAACTTAGTGATCCTATTTATTTTGCATGACGAACCTCTTCAATAAGTTAACGGGACGCGTTTCAATGTGTATCGAGATGCAAGATCAAGAACGATCTGTACGACTGGGATATTCTTTTCAGGTTGGGAATAACGTACATGATAACGTGAACCCAGCAATATATATTTTTTCTACAAGTGTTATTTGGCAATATTTGCAAGTATTATGAACAAATTGGGTCAACTGCTTATGAATATGCCTATGAAAGTAATTCTAGTTACGGTAAGAAATATGGACGTTTTAATTTGAATACTAGTAGAATGCGTAAAAAACGTTCACATTCTATGCTGTTGTTCTGAACACATGTAATTGGTTTATTGAATCAACTACGTTTTACTAATTTCCATTATTGAATTTCAGGAATTAAATATAAGAGTTTTGTTGTGTTTCTGTTGCACTTGAGTTTATATTTTGTTATCCTGTAATAAATCAGGCGATTTTCTAGTGCAATCAGTCATATTTGATGCACTTCACTTTTTTTCGAATTGAAGCATATTTTCGGTTTTTTCTCTACATGTTTAACGCATTTATGTAAAAGTTGTAAAGGATTTGTTCTTAGCTCTCTTTTGCAGCATCTTCACGGTTATCAAGTTTGCTCAATACATTTTTACCGAATCCTTAGTATATTTCATATGTTGTCTACTTAGCATGTTTAAGGCAGGTTTAAAAACGCATATGTTACGTGTACTTCATTCACATTAGGTTGTGATTTTCCAAAATCTATGATTTTTTCAAGGATGTCGCGTAACATTGTTCGTAAATCGGATTATGGTGCTCCGCCGGCTAGGATGTCAGCTGGGGCTCCTCCTAGCCTCCCAGTGCGACGAGCTTCCAAAGGTATAGTTGTTATGGTCTTATTACTTCTTCATAACAGGAATCAGTTGATTTTGATATTAATAGTCTCTGAACATATTGCTGCCTTCAACGTAAAAGTTCTGTTTTCGTAAGATTCAGACCCATTTACCATAATTCTTGTAGAAAATACAGAGTTTATTTCTCTTTCAGAGATTATTACTTTGTCATTTCCAGGTGCTTTCAGAAATGTTACTAGCACGCTTAGTCGCAAGCGGCGATCAGAAGGTAATCTGGAAACGGAGGATTCGGATTCGGAACAAGCATCCACAGCCGATGACCAGGAGGAGAATGGTAGTGGTGATGACATAAAAAAGGAAGAAGAGCAGGAGGAGAAAGTCAAGAAAACTCCGCGTAAAAAACGTCGATTTAGGTTAATATTAATAATTGGGCACAAATAGTAATTTGCAGCTTCGTACTGAGTGACAGATTTTTCCACTTGTAATTGCAGTAATAATCATTATAAGTTACACTTCAGTATTAGTTTCTACAGGTTAACGGATTCAATAGCAAAGAGCAAAAGACGAGCTGAACGAAGGGCACAATTAGCAGCCGAACGTAAAGAGCGTGAAGAATCTAAACAGCAGCAGGAGGTAAGTTTTTCATGGCATAATATATTTCATCCAATTTCCAGACGTGAAAAAGTCGGACAAAAAGAGATGAAACTGTGGTCAGGTTGACTTAGATTTAAATAACGATATTTGGAAGCGGGATTTCAATATTTAGTTCTGGTCCAAATTTTTAAATTTGTTCTTGATTCTGTTTAGGAAGGAATGTAAGTATAAGGAAAGTTTAGTTTAGAGTATAAGGAAATTCCCATTAATTTAGCAAAACTCTCAACAATTTATAATTTATATAAAAATTATTACGCTCAGGGCGAAATTAATGACGAAATGAAAGAGCACTCATCGACACCGCCACCACTTCCAAAAGCATCAGCTGTGCTAACCTATTCACCTATGCAGCTTTTTTGCGATAACTTGTTGCGGAAAATGAAAGCCAAAGATCCAGATGAATATTTCGCATTTCCAGTGACACAGTAAGTTTAAAAATAAGTTTTCATTTTTTTTCTGTTAAAAAATTATTCTGAAGATAGATCGAAACAATGTTGTTCTACATAAATCATAAATGCTCTCGTGATAAAACTTTTTTGGCAACCATTGCGTAATTTATCATGTTTTATGGAATTGTGTTATTTCCTTCGTCTCAGATTTTTTTAAAAAAAAATGTCAATTCAAAAGTGGTTTCTGGAAGGGAAATTTTACCTACTAGATTGATTTTTCGTTCATAATTTGATATTGAAAAGCAAGGTGCAAATTCAGATCGATGGCACCAGATTACCATGAAATAATCAAGGAACCGATGGATTTTGCTACGATTCGACAGAAAATCGATCGGGATGAATATCCAGATATTGCAACATTTAAGAAAGATGCCGAATTGATTGTTCATAATGCAATGGATTATAATTCACCTGGGACTATATATCACATAGCAGCTCAAAAAATGGACTTAGTTGTACAGTTTTATTTTTCGGAATCATATTTGCGCTATCTTTTTCATACTCTTCCGTTCACCAAGGTAAATTTTCCTATTTTTTGATTTTCCTGCCGTTTATTTAATTACTTTAAGTAATTCAAACAATTAAGCGGGAGCTGTCTATCCTCAGTTACTGCAATTTTTTCTATACGGAATTGAGTTGTACTATCACCAGTGATTAGGTGATGCGAATGATCAGTGTGTTTTAGTGCATTATCTCCGTTTCTAGGTATTTATTCTTAACGTTTTGCAAGAAGTGTAAGCTTTTGAGATTTTGGATTTGTTAGCAATATAAAATACATACTGGTGAAGGGGATACACAGATTTTGGGAATCGGAAATAGTAAAACGTAACCGTAGAGAATGCATTGATCAATTAGGCATTTTTGGATTTTAAGGTGAGAGATTTCAGTGAGGTCTTGTAGCTTTCATATTTTGCGTTCATCCAGTTTAAAAATTTTTAGCTTTGTGTGGTTATGTGATTCAACTATGGTGTTTGAAAACATAAGTAATTTCCAGGAGATCCCGTTGGAAAAGTTAGGTTTAACTTTGAAAACAAAAACACGGCCAATACCGAAAGCAGATTACAAAACAGCAGTTGTCGATGATGCAACACCATCAACCGTTTTGGAAGCAGTGGATCCATCTTTGAAGCAAAAATTATCTAGTCGTATTCCTGATCTTAGGGTATTTCCTACTGGTAATGAGGAGAACGGTATAGAACCGAAAAGTCACCTCGCATTTTTGGATAACAAGGACGGTGCTATTTGTTTGAATGTTATCAATCCGAGTTCATCTGAAAAAAAATAATCACCCTTGGAGATATTGTGGGTAAACTAGAGGAAGGTACACCAGGACTTTGCGCTCCACAAGAACACAAATCAAACCACCAGGTTTGTTGCACCTTATTTCAAATCATCAAACATATCAAGAATCTTCAGTTTTGTCGTAGGAAGAAGCATAGTTACGTCAATCCCGTAAGTTCACTGCATAATTTCGTTTTCAGATGTACTAAACATTTTGAAACTAAAGATTTGCAGCTCTTTCCTGAAACAATAAAATTTATGGTGCCAGATTTTGGTATCAAAATTTTCAGCGACTGATTTCAATGGTTGTTGTCAGAATGAACTGCTGAGAAGTTTCTGTAAGCACACGTGGAAAATTAGACAGGGATGTTTAAAAAATTAGGTTAAAGCGGCTGGTTTGATTCTCCTGCTGTTGCACTGCTTTGAACATTAATTTCGCTTTTATCTAATTTTTATATTATATCTGCATTGTTTCGCTTTTAGCCCTCCAATGCGCGATTACGAAAATGTGTTTCCTATCAAGTTCTTATGTGGCATTATTTTCGAGTTAAATGTCAATTATGAGAAATGTTTCCAGGTTCCAATTTCCTATGTTTCATATGGACCATTCAGTTCTTTTGCACCGCAATTTGATTCTACCTGGGCAACACTTTGCGAACGGGATTCCCGTTTACTTTTGGGCACTTATGGGGATAGGTCAGTTTTCAGTAAAATTTAAAAGTTTTGTTAAATATTTGTGTTTGTAGAGTTTTTTGTGCATCCACATTATTGGTGAATAGAATATCTGGGAAATTTATATTTTGCTAATTTTTATCGGAAATATTTAAGTGCTTGGAGTAAAGATGTGCTGTTTGTGCATGCTTCGGATGGCAATTTGGTGTTTTGCAGAAGTTAGCTCTTTCTGTCGCAAGGTTCATAGCCTTTTCCGGAGATGCAGAAATTAAGAGTGTTGTCGGTTGTTATGTGAAATAATTTGAAAGTAAATTATAGCAAATAACTTTTAGAACTAATGTAATGAATGCAGTATCCTTACGGGAAATGGTTGATAATTGTGGCGAGTACATGATCAAAGTTGTCGATGATTTGTTAGATACTTTGACAAACGGTGAGCACCGCAGGACTGTCAAGGCTTTAGAAACTGATACGGACAAAAACAGTGTAAGTATTATTTTCTAGCAAAATTATTTGTGAAGAAATACCGTTTTTTGAAGTTTATGCTATTACTGACTTTATTTAGTTATAATTTATCCTACTGAAAACTTTATTTGGTTTTCGTAACGAAGAACCGATGAAAAAACTCAGTGCAAGGTACTGAAAAGTACCGGAATTTCTCCATTTTTAATATTAAGTGATTTGATAGGTTTCTCAAATGAAAAGTGCAGTGGATAAAATCGATTTGAACAAATTGTTGAGCGATGTTGAGTCTCTCGAAAATATTGGGGTTGATGTTTCATTCGTCAGTGACATACGGAAGTTATACAAATTGCAAACAGTACCAGAAACCCGTCAGGTATTTTTTCATGTTTACTTGACGTATAATTTCTGTTTTTTCTTGAGAAATTGTGAGTTTAACATACATTTGGTGTGAGATACAGTTCTTGCTTGTTTTCTGAAAAACAAGGGAGGGTGATCAGATGGTTTTCTTCCCAAAAACTTACCGTCCTTTAGAAAACTTTATATATCTCTATGTTTGTTTGACGTAAAATAATTGCGGTCTCCACCTTCTGTATCCTACAATGCGCTTATAGTATCAGTCATTATCAAATAAGGAGTAACTGATTAATTGATCATTACATTCGTATATTCTTTCTTTTATTTTTTTTTCGAATTTATTTGGAATTGGAATTGTACTCATCGGTTCTCCCACCTTTCAGGCTAAGTTGAGTAAAACTGGTGTAATGATCAGCGACCTAGCGTTGTTGCAGAAAAATCGACTTGGTTCAGTCCCACCAACAACTCTAACTGAACAACCGGCACCTAGCAATCATGAGCTGAATCTTGCCAACAAAGTGCAAGCAAAACTACACAGTCAAATTGCACAGTACGCTAAGCCTGGAGATGTTATTTCCCCACCTGTAATTCATAATGCTGTAGGTTTAAATGAAGAAGATATTGACTTATTGAATGAATTCTTCACCGCCGCGCCGCCAACCACCGCGGTGTAATGAAAGCTGGATTCCCGTTCTTATTTCGAAATGGGTACCCTATTGCAGTTAGCAAGTGCTTCTGGTTTTGTGTCCAAAGTCTCATTTCTTGTTTTTGTTATTTTATTCTGAATTTGGTACGAACACAAAACTCTGTCATTGGGAAAACTGACAAAGTTTTTGAGAACTTGAAGGGCGCAAAGGAGAAAATCGAAAACATGATTTTTTTCAAATCTTTTGACTCTGTATGACTTAATCTAAAAGTTCGCATGACTCAGATGCTCCCTCTCTTTTCGTAATAAGCTCAAAGTCGCGATAAAGTACGCCTAAATGCAATTTGAATTTTGCTTGAGTTGAAATGTTTTACAATGATCTCTGTGGGATTACACTGTCAGATGTTGGAATTGTACAAATTAAAAGAAAAGATTATATGCTTAATCTGTTTTTTGCGCAGTTTCATTTTTACCAGTAATTTCATGCCACTGTCAGATACATAACGCATTAAAAAGTACCTATTACTGATGGCAGAATATATGGTAACAAATACTCATTTATTTTCAATGAGCAGTATTTGAACGGCTCTTCCAATTAACGGCAGGGGTGATGTGAAGTAGGCGTAACATAATACACGTTTTTCATTTAATTCGATTTCTCTTTTAAATAATTGGGAGTTATGTTTCAGAGTGTTGCTTTGTTTAAAGGTTAATTATATTTAAATGCTGTAGCCATTTTTCGCCAATACATTTTCCATCTCTATCGTACACTCTGTTTTAAATTCAGATTTCTCAAGGAAATATAGAAATTACTTTCAGTGAATTATTTTCACTATTCGAATGATTCCGTAATATTAAAAATCGAATTGGTCCAAAATCTATGCAGAAATCCACATCGAAGAATGAGGAAAAATAACAGTTGCCAAAAAGCGAAAAAAGCATTCGAAACGTAAAGCATATCAATGTATTTTGCTTGAACTATGTCCAAGAAGTTGTCGGTGTACTAAAGCTCGGTAAATACCATCTTGTTCCAGCAAATTCTCGTGTCGACCTTGCTAAAACAATCATGAAATGTGATTTCTCAATTTTACAGATAATTAAAATCTACCATAAGTCGTAACCTGTGCAACACAACTGTATAAATTAAGGTCGAGACATGCCATATATATTTCGAAATATTTCAAACAAGCCAAGATGCACTAACACGTAATAGCTAATAAAGAACAAAATCAATAACAGCCCATCCTTTTCAACCGGAAATTTTCATGAATACGTGATTTCTGAACTCATTCAACTACTTGAGTTTTTCCAACGCAAAATCGTGATTTTAAACCTTTCCTAGATCTTACATTCTGATATAAATCGAATAGTGAATCAAGCCATGTTAGCCAATCAAAAAATTTTAACTGAACTAACCTGCACCACTTGTCCTTTACTAATGACAATAATTTGATCAGCATTTTCAACTGTACTTAAGCGATGTGCAATTACAATAACGGTTTTATCCTTCGAACATCGCGCTATAGCATCTTGTATAACGTGTTCACTTTCTGCATCTAAAGCTGAAGTTGCTTCATCTAATATCAGAATGGCGGGATGACGGACCAAAGCTCGTGCTATTGCTATACGTTGTTTCTGACCACCTGAAATTCCGAATGTAAGACAAATAAGTAAAAGAAAAACCGCTTCCACTTTTCTCCCTTTTTGATCTCAAAACTATTTTTCACCATCGTTTGAATTCACTAAGTCCTTGTTAGATCCTAAAACTTAAAATAAATTTATTCTAAAAAATAATAAACGACTACTAACACAAGAATGTTGAATGGAAAAAGAAAAGGCAACAATCTCTTTTCTATAACTCTTCGCGTTCATCCGCGCATTTCCAACTAAACTATCATGGATGTGCTAGAAAAACGACATCGCCAAATTTATTTGTCCTTAAGCAACAAAATATAAATTTATAGGTCACTAAACCACCACAACCCCTCATTTTCAGGAACCATAATAACAAGAATCATTTCTAAGTAAATCACCTGACAACTGAATACCCCTTTCGCCACAATTTGTATCATACTGCTTCTCAGTTTCCATGATGAAATTATGCGCATTAGCTATTTTAGCAGCATTTAACACATCATCCTCGGTAGCCCAATCACATCCGTATATAATATTGTCCCGCACCGTGCCCTCATATAATATTGGATCCTGAGCAACCAGAGCAATCTGAAAAAACTTCGTGAATCTCAGTATAAAGACAGCAAACTGCTATAGCAAAAAATACTCTCGTTATAATCATTCAACGAATCCATCAAAAGTATGAAGAGTATGAAGAGCTTTCTTTTCTGAATTACTTTCATTTCCAATGAAAGATTCTTTCCGGAGCAAAATTAAAACACACTTACTTTTTGATGAATATACTCATGATCATAATCTGCCACTGGATTTCCATCAATAAGCACGCAGCCCTTATCACATTCGTAAAAATGCTCAATCAAAGATACGATGGACGACTTTCCACCGCCACTTGGTCCAACCAGGGCAACAGTCTGACCTGGATGAACAGTAAAGCTGACGTCCTATAATAAACAGAATTTTAAACATGAATTTAAAGGTAAAATAACCCATAGTTCATTCTTCAACGGAATGAAATACGATCACTTTTACTGAATTCTCTTCGTGATCTGTCATCAAGTATGAAAATATAAATTATAAAGCAGGAAATCTGAATGACCATTTCTAATGACCAGCATGACCATTCCTAATATATCTTTGAAAGCATAAACTTCTATTAGAAATATCCAAAATGTAAAACTTGTAGAAAGAAACGCAGGAGTTTCAATAACCTGCAAAACAGGATTGTTTGGTCGGGAAGCGTACGTGAAAGATACGGAATCGAACTTAACTTCTCCATTAATTGGCGTCTTCTTCGTTCCAACGCGAAGAATTTTTGGTTTACGCATCATATATTCGAAAACTTTCCTCGATGCACCAACACTTTCCATCAAACCCGTAAATACATAACTGATGTTCTGAAAACTACCAAAATAAGCCTAGAGAGATGCGAAGTCTGAATCACATAGAGACAGAACTTAAATACTCTTCAAGATGTACTGGAAACAGTACCGTTTGAAGAGATAAGTGCTCAAGAGCAAATATGTAACGGATGCCGAAAGGTTGGAAACAAAAAGACTTAACCATATATTATGATAAATTGATGTTTTTTCAATTTCTGATTGAGCAACAATCAGAGAGTTTTGTCAGAATAAACTTGGACAGAAAAGTCTCAAAGCTGATTACAAGAAGTCTTTAGGTAGTTGATGTAACACCCTCCCAGAATACAGCCTATTAACGGAAAACGTACTGTAGCGAATGAACGATCAAACAAATCCTGTAGATATACATATCAATTTAAATGAACTACGAATAGAACATCATCTGAATCATTCAAAAATTAATGAAAACGTACATAGAGATTTTCTCCAAGTTGCATTTGATATAATAAGAAAGATATCAAATTATCAACTGTCATTTTTCCTATAATAAAATGCAGTTATGAATTTGAAATGAACTGATTACAATAAGCATAACATCGATTTATAATTCAGAGTGAACATGGTTCGATTTTTACTTGAATTTTTTAAATTTCCCTGCACTAAAATCAGCCCAGGGGAATGATTATTAAAATCAGAATATCGAATTAATATTGAAATTAGAAAAATCACCTGACAAGACAAGATGGCCGCCATAAAACAGCACAGCAATCAGGATAGCATTATCACAGAATTCGGTAGTCCACATATAACCCATATAGACTATTGCTTTTTTCCTGCTTAAATGCAGCGTTTCATCCAAATGCTGCTGAAACTTTCTGGCTTCGCGTTTCTCGCAAGCGAATGATCGCACTGTTCGCATAGTACTAACCACCTGTTCTGCTACATGATTTGATACCGCTATTGTTGCTTGGGTCTTTTCGGTTAGTAGCTGCAAAAAAAAAAAAAAAAATTCAGATATCATGAAGAATGAGATTATAAAATAGCAAATACCATACCTATTAAAGAAGTGGATTCGCTAACTAAAAATAAGTAAGTTCAGACGAAAACATGAAATAAATATAATAGGTTTGATCACCACAAATATCTGTTAGAAGAGAAGCCCTGGTCCTGCGTGAAGTTAACCTAACTCGAGCAATATACAACATTTTTATGACCAAAAGATATTCGAGATAAGTAATCTAAACTTCAATCGTGTAATACAGGCTGAGATCAGTTTGGAAGCAAATAAAATTAACTTAATTTAAGTGGGAAATATAATGAAATTATTGGAATTCACACACTTACATCATAGTATGCACCATAAACTTTAGTCACGAAACCAACGACCGGTACAATAATGAAAGTAACCAAAGAAAGGCGCCATGAAAGAGTAGCCATGAACACCAGCGAACCAAGTAGCATGACAATGTTTCGAAGGAAGATGTTCAAGTTGGTGGAAATTGTTGAGGACATTGTTTCACAGTCAGTTGTTAAGCGTGATGTTATTTCACCTAACAAATTTAAAATTGTCTCTCGGAAATTAAGTATGGTGATCAGAAGGGTGTAGTAAGTTTAACAACTCTCTAAATGAACCTCCAATGAACTTCTAAGACTTTTTTTACACAGAAAACAGCATTAAATACCTGTGTTAGTTGTATCAAAGAAGCTGATATCTTGTTCCACCAATGAACTAAACAAATCATAGCGCATTTGACGATTCACCAAAGCTGTAGCGTAAACGAAGCTTCCACCTCGAAGACCACCAGTAATTGTACTAAAATGCAAATGACTCATGAATCTAATGGCTTTACAAAGCTTTACTTTAAAAATTAACATGAAAATTCTAGAGCTTCAATAAGATCTCCACGAATATAATATCGAAATGCAACTGGAAAATGTAACGATGAGCGAACCTTACGACAGTTAAAGCCGACATAAGCAGCACAGAATTGACTAAAACAGCAGCACCTCGAGCTTGTACTATATTTGAAAGTACTCGACCGGTACAATATGGTAAAAATACCCGCGCTTAAATAAATCCATTTTAAACTTCATTTTTTTTAATTCTGTGAACTGATCCCGAACACTGGCGGATAAATTACGTCATTAAATAAAAAAAAGAATTTAAATTTACTGCACTTTGGTAACTAAATTATCATTTCCACTTATAGACCAAAATTCGAGATAGAAAAAACTTAAATACTGTAATGTGATGAATACGTAGTGACAAATAATCCTTATGGAAACTGGAAAAAGTATGAAATAGTATTTAAACCATTAAACAATGCTTTTCGAAGTAAAAAATGTAGTAGCATATGAAATCGTACATGAAGAATAGACAGTAAGGAAGAAGAATCCTGCTGCGAACCATTTCCAGTGATTTTTGCAATATCGAAGCAATCGCAGAATATGCTGACCGGTACCAAAACGATCGGACTCCTCCTTAGTATCTTGCAATCTTGATGTCACATCCTGTGCGTCACCCGTCAACGATCGATAACTCCATGAGGTATTAGTACGCAGTACAAAATTCCAAAATAATATAATTAATGCAGCGGCTAATACATTCCAAATAACATTTAGCCAAAACCCGAAATAAACAAATTGCTCGATTTTTTCCGAGAATGCAAGTAATTTTATCAGCGAGAAGGTCCAATTTAGAATAAATACTCCCAAAAGTGGTATGAAAAATTTTTCATGCCATGGATTTTCACAGTTGACCTTGAGCATGAGAAGGATCAGCATTACGAGGAGTCGAAAAGCAGTAAATAATAGGAAATCAATGGGAGAAGTGATGAAATGATAGGGCACATTGAATGTTATATAATCCCAGATAATTTGAAGATCAAATTTGAATGATGTTTGATAGAAGCCAAAAGCGATCACCGAAATAATAACATCTACCCAACAGTAGAGAATAATTAGAAATGAGGGTAACCAGAAACGCATGCTGCTTGAACTGAAATAAACTGCATTAAACTTAACCAAGAAACATGTGACATTTGATTTATTGAATGTCATTTTAAATAGTGATTAATGATTGGGTGATAAGGATTGATAAGCCCACTACTGAAACATTTATTTCCTTAAATGATTTCAGCGAATGGCATTTATTAAATAAATGAAACAAACATACAATTCGCGTTTTTCAGTAGGCGCATAAATTCATTTTTCCTTGCGTAAACAAATGCGTAAATTGTTGCGTGAATTGTTATCACGTTTTATAGATGCACCCAGTTTTTATCCAAAACTGAAATTGATTATATTATGAAAACCCGTCAAAATTATGATCAGTTTTACAGAAAGATAAATGAAACAAAAAGCAATATAAAAATCACAGCTGAGAAATTCGTTCGTCATACGAATGCTTTCAGTGCAACTATAACTATCATTTTGTCTGCCCTCATCCTGTTTATTCATTGGAAAATGTAAAATTAATATCCAGATTTATTTGCATATTCCAAATTTGATCATTGTATTATCGCCTTAATTTTCTCCGCTTCTTTCAAGGCAAATAGTAGCACCAATTATATTAAACAGTAACGGCAGCTAATAAGAATTAACAATAATTAGTAATGATGGTAATAATGATAATTAACAATTAATAATCTAATAATAATAATTAAAATAATAATAATTAAAATAATAATAATAATAATAACAATAATAATAATAATAATAATAATAATAATAATAATAATAATAATAATAATAATAATAATAGATAATAATAATAATAATAATAATAACT